TCACAACACTAAGTCTAATTTCTGACTATCAATAAGTTACATACTTTAAAAATACTGATTTCACAGCATTAAATGTGTACTTGTTTATTTGAAAATTAACCAGAATTAGTAAATCGATGAGAAATTAGCTCTAGCGACATATGTTATTTCGTATATCTAAGTTAAAACACACACATTTTATATATTATCAAGCTAAATAAGCAAAAATGTGTGAATTTATTGCAATTGGCCGGCAAGTGGGCGTTCCAAACGTTACTTATAAGAGAAAAGTACCATCAGCACAAACTTGAAGTTTCGTCGAGTAAAGAGAAACATCGCTGTATATAAAGCTTGCTCGGTATAATAACGCAGCTTTCATACATAGTTTATTTTAGGAATACTATTCAAAAGCGAACGTGAGACTTCGCGGTCCACACAAATTAATTTTTAATACGTTTTATGCTGAAGGACTTTATGATTCCTTAATGCTAGGTGTTGTTAACAGAAACTTTTATTTACTTACGCATATAAAACTTAAGTCAGTGGCTGTTTAAGCATGTTAATATAATCAAACTTAGAATTTGTACTACAAAGCTTAATAAAACACAAATATTAAATTCTACCTTTTATCAATAATAAAATAGGTCTCAAATAACTATGAATTATTTTCACTCCAAGTCACAAAACGTTAATTAACTAACCCAAGCTTTATTATATTAAGTGCTGTGAAAAAAATAACAAATTAAGAAAGACTAAGACTGTTATACAATTTAAAAAAAACATTCACAATAAAACGAATTCGTTTTTAGGACAAAATTAATAAAACCTGTAATTTGTATAAAATTTTCTCAGGGGCCGTTCCAGTATTAAGTAAGCAGATTTAGTGCATTTTATCCCCCTCCCCTTCTCTTGTCAGCAAAAGTTAGCAAAGCTCTCAAAAATAATAGAACATAAACGTATTTAATTTTTGTATGAATCCTCGAAAATGCATTTCGTTTACGTAATCAATAATTTCTGTTGACGTAATCACAGAATCAGAAATTCAAAGAACACTTAAATGCTTACGTTTTTGAACGGCATAAAATTAACTAGAAATAAGTATATAGTTTATTACAAAATATAATATTACCATAATGTGGCATATAGAAATAATTAGTGTGTTACTTCTAACAATACTATTCTAAAACATACTATAAACGTCAAATAGTTAAACAATGTTTTAAATTCATTTATAGTGATGAAACATCCAATAACTATTTAAAGTTCAGTAACAAAAGACTCCGTTTTAACCGACTTAAAAAAGAAGTTTAACATTTTGCTTATGTATGCACGAAAAAGCATAGATACTTAGATAATCAAACCTATAGATATTTGTTACCTTAACTATTTGAGGTGGATTGTCTAGGTTGTAGTAGTAATTAAAAAATAAGACGTTTTAAAACATTCATTATTTTGGACCAGTACCGGTACTGTAACTTTTTATCTCACGCGTTCCTAAGGTTGCGACATCAGAGCTACGTCTAAGACAATACGTTTAACATATGAGTCATACTTAGCGCTAGCTCTCATCTCTGAAACAAATCCTAAGAGAGCTACATCGAAACAAAAGCTTAGTATTGTTATCGCTTTTGTAAGTTACAGGGTACCGGCCCTGGACTCACCTTTTATAGTTTTATTAAAATTTGTAGTGTAACGACTGTTAAATTATTGAAACGATCAATAAACTTTCAGCGGAACGGAAAATCGAAGAAATTCTAAGGAAGAGCAATAGTCGATTTCCTTGGTAGATTTTATTAACTCTTCCAACTTTAAAAGTTGTAATTCTAAAGTTAAAAATAAGGTAAAGTAGGCATAATCTAATCTTGATAATAAATGTAATAAAATGTCTAATAGAAAATAAAATATAGTGTATGAACGCTTATGATATGTTGAATTTATGAATGATTGTGAAATAATATTTATTTTGCGAGTCATTCATCCGATTAGTCCTTTTGAAACGTATTACATATATCCGTTGAACATATTTTATGTGTAAATTAGACATAACTATCAGCTAAAAGCTTAAAAATACAAATTAAAAATTTATATTTAAATGTTTTTTTTATATATCCACACCGACAAGGCGGATTGTCGACACTAAAATTATGACGTATAGCAAAAAAAATCCTTAATAATGTATATATAAGTTAGTAATCTAGATAATATTTTCAACATAAATATTTCCGAAACATAGGTACACCTGGTTACTTAAAGCTTAATGTTAGTTAAATACAAAAGTTAGTGAAAAAAATGATAATTACAAAAAAAATATAGCAAAACGATACGATACCAAATAACGAATATACTGACCAATAATTTTTTGTATGCATCACACATTAAAGAAAATAAACTACTTTTAACAAATTAAACGCGCGAGTTTAAAATCGCGAAACACAATGACAAGTTTTATACGTCATTTTTATAATAAACTAGCTGACCCAGCAAACGTTGTTTTGCCATGAATATTATTTCTAGGACAAATTTCTTTAGTTCAATAAAAATAGCTATCTACAATAATAAAAACAGGGGTTGATCGTAGAGGGGTGAAAATTATGGGTTATATGTATTTTTGTATGCTGTATCATAAAAAAATAAAAACAAAAAATCTAAAGAATAAAAAAAAATTTGGGGTGAAAAATAAAACACCCCTTATCACTTAGGGGGTTGAAAGATCGGTCAAGCCGTTTCGGAGGAGTATGGTAACTAACATTGACACGAGAATTTTATATATAAGATTAATCATAAATATACGCATTAATTGCGGTAATTTCTTATAAATGTGGTACTAAATTAAGATTTACATAAGTGTAATGTATAAAACTGCTGGGTTATTTTTATATTTTATCACAAAACCGGTTTAAAAAATTATCAGTTCTCAAACTATAATACGTTAGAATAGTATAATTTAATGCAAATAATAATTTTAACGCAAATATAAGTTTTAAATAATAACTCAGTTGCCATAGAATGCGGCAAAATAATTTCCGGATTTAAACTATTAACATATTTCTTACATAATGCAATAATTTCACGTATATATCCATTGAAGTTTATTTTGTCTTTACTCGCGTAAACCAAAGATTATTTTCTCTCAATATATCCGTTAATAATGGCGTTTACTCAAATTCTAATAAAATAAAACTTTACTGAATAATAAAACTTAAAACTAATAATTGAACGTAGGAAGTACTGAAAAAAATATAGGATCAAAATAGGTGTTTCTTATAAACGGCTTTGTTTATAGATAAACAAATTTTAATCCCATTGACTGTTTATAAGACCAAGTTAATAATACAATAATGTCGGCGTTTTAGAGCGCGGCCACACGATGCGGCGCCGGAGCGGTGCCGCAACGTTATCCTACATACAAATTACTATACCATGTCACACGATGTATTCGTTGTATTCGTTTTTACAACAAACTCCCAAGCGAAATTAGAGAATTATAACTAAATAAATTCAAAGCCCTCGTTAAACGGAAATTAATCAATAAAGCTTTTTATAAATTTGAGGAATACTTAAATGATCCTAATCCTTGGGATTGATTTGCTCCAGTTCAAACAATTTGTATGATAATACTTGGCGATTAAAAAGAGTGGCGGAAAGTTTCTTGCCAGTTCTTCTTACCCGCTCTACGCCCTTGACTTGCGAACTGGTAGTAAATGTAAATTTACAATTAATTTAACTTGACAATTCATAAGTGTAATTGTTTACCTACATGAATAAAGACATTTTGAGTTTAATGCGTTGCGCCGCCGCGCGGCGTTGCACCGCAAGCGCGCCGGAGTTGTGACCTGCGAGACGGGGCGGGGAGGGGTAAAATATATTGCCACACCGCAACGCCCGTGTGGCACCCTATAGCTCGAAGTAATTGCGGTGCGGCGACGCACCGCACCGTTACCGCATCGTGTGGCCGCGCTCTTAATCTGACATATCGGGTTAGTAAAAGCGTAACTTAAATGTAACAATTAACACAAAAAAACTAAAGCTAAATTACCATGTACATTCAAAGTTGTCATTGCGGATGGGCAGCATGAAAGCATTTCTACTTTTCACGGATATTTCTAATGGAATCTCTTTTTCGCTAAACTTATCGGATCATTTCCCCCAATGCATAGATAATTTGGCCCCGAATCCCGTACAACGCCATCTCACGCATCAGCGCAAGAGCTTGTTAAAATATATATAACAAACACTAATGAACTAAGTTCAATAATTAAATATATTACGTTAATCTAGACATTAACAAAAATAACCGAATAATGCTTTTGACGTCTAAAAAATCATCAAATTCACCAATTCTCCCCAATCTCTCTTAGGAAAACAGGTAATAAATGGCCAAAAAGACCGTTACGCTATAGTGAACCCTTTGTAATACGGTCGAAACTGCTGAACTAAAATCCCGTTCATAGATAATAGAAAATTATGTTATCGTATATAAGTTTTTTTTATCACCCCAAAAGCATTAACTTGGGGTTCTAACCTTCCTATATCACTTAGTTGACGAGTATGTGATATATTATTTACATTTACTAAAATATACGAAGCTAACGACGAATGAGAAATATTTTACAATAAACTTTTGAAGATGGCAATATCCTTTTTTTTATTAGATTTTATTTTCGGCTTTACTTTTCTTCTTTTGAGTAGAAGTGAGCTTTTTTTTTAATTTTCAATATTTCATTCATCGCCGTTGTTTATCTAAATCTAAAAATACACAGGGGTACACTTTCTCTTAGAAAATACATTTTAATCTTAAATATTTAACAATGAGTTGTACTCAATTTTCTACTTTTATTTAAAATTACATTCGGTGAAACTCCTTTTTAATCATATTTACATTTAAAATACCAGTTAAGAGCTACATTATAATAAAATTTTGTCATTATAAAAGTCTATAAAATTTAAACAAAGCCAAATTTAACACGCCAAAAACCGTTAGAAAAATCTAAAAATATATTATTTTCTTTTTTTATTTTGACTTAAAAACTAGGCTTTTCTTCTTGCTTAAGTACCCCTATCTCTTGAAGGACCGCTTCTATGCCTTCTGGCATTCGGCCTTGGTCTAACTCGAGATTCCATGTGTAGAACTGGAATATATGAAATATAAATGTTTTGGTGTAAATACCATAGAGCAACTACTTGTAAAAACAAATGTTTGTATGATTTTAGATCACCGTAAACCAATAGAGCATACGACATTCATATATCTGGTACATTGATAATTTTAAACGTGTGGTCACAACTCACAACTACAAATGATTCTGAAAATTTAAATTTAGAACAATTAAAATAATAATTTCTATAACTCAATGAAGTATTTTTTCTCGCTAGTTTTGGCGCTAATCAAGTTAACATTCGTATATGATATTCACATATTAGAAAGTTAATAATACCTTTTCAAGTTCCTTTCGGAGCGCAAGAACAGATCTCTCCCTATCGGCAACCAGTTCCTCCAGATATTGGTATCTCAGCTTCTTGCGAGCGCGACACTCGCGGGCCGACTGACGACTGCGTTCTGAAATTGTCATAATAACATGTATGAGAAGTAGGTCATTTCTTCTATTTCACTGATACTTTTTTAAGCCGGGAAGACTGGTATTTAAATATTTTAAAGTGAAATATTTTTTTTTTACTCATTCTAGACTTTCAACGTGAACCCGTTATCCAGTCAACTAGATTTGATGATCATGCATTTAAGTAAGATTGCTTGTTACTATTCCTGATTTGTATTCTACTTTTAAAGCTGCAAGTTTTGCAGCCTCCGAACTACCAGCGAAACTGACAAGAATGTGTTCCATAAACTCTGGTATAATGTCAAAAATTCAGGACCACCGTTTGAAATTTAATTTATTTTTGTTTGAAAATTCATTTGATCTGAGAGATGACATTATCAAGTCTGTATTGACGTAGTTGTTAAGTAACCAAGTCTCTACAAGGAGCGTTGCCGCGCGTTCAAGCTCCGACTCCGACGCAATTTGCCCTTGCTCGAAACGACAAAAGACATCGTGAGCCGTCATCAAAAATCAGGTCAAGTGTCAGGCTCTTGTACCAGTGCTGATCACCTACTTGCCTATAATAATAAAAATATGAAAAACAAATGCAATCTGAAGCTCCATAAAGGGTTTTAGCGCCACTGGCTTGTATTTATTAAGTTATAGTATAGAGGCGAGCAAGATCCGTCTTACCAAGTTTGGCCTTCATGTCTTGCTTGTCCTGCGCCTTTCTGCCGGGTCTACGGCCGCGCTTGCCCCCCTCGCGTCTCTCACCCCCTTCTGGCGCCGACCCACCCGTTGAGCCGTAAGCACCACTCAACTCCTGAAAATATTAAATTAATATTTAAGCCATTTCATTAAAAACCATCAAACCATTACCTCTGGGTTAAATGGTCTACTCTATATTACCTAGAAGAAAATATTCTATATTCTGAAGAAATTACTAATATCCATTATTTAAATCATAAATTAGATTAGATTTCGATATAATTTTCATTACCCTAAGGCCTTTATATACTGCGTTTTGTATTTATTTTTATTTACACAAATAAAGGGAGTCAAATCGCGATGGAGGAGGAATATATTTTTAAAAACTAATTTCAATTTAATAATGAAAAACCTAAGAACGGTCGATGTTAGACTGACTTTAATTATCATTACATTCTTAATGCTAAACACTTTATTTAATAAAATAATACAAACTAAGTATTCTGCGTAGCAGTTGCATTAATGATTACTGTGCGATCTTGATACATGTGTGACAATGTAAGTAGGGTATCGTTTTATTTATTTAGATTAAAGGAAGCAATCAGAATAATAAGCCAAACTGCAGCATTTTTACCAACTTCATAAAACCCGAAGAAGATTTACAATTCTTCGTGTATTTTTTTCAAAACTTTGAAATCTACAAAAACCAAATATATGTAAAGATATTATATTTCAATTAGTTTGTTAATTATCTGTTATGTGTTAAACGGTTTGACTCAAAGCTGACGTTTTATTTAATAATAAAATTGAGAGATTGTTAGTCTGTGAAAAAAAGAAGCGAGTTTTGGGTTGTCACTTAAAAATTTTACAAGGAATATTTTCAGATTTTAATTAGGAATTCAATTAATATTTTTTTTTGAAGGACTATTATGAAATAACAAACACAATGTTTTTTCTATAATTATTTCAGGTAATTAATTAATTATTAATTACCTTACTTAGTTTTTACGTATATTTAGTTGTTAGTTAATTATTAGTTTTTAAGATATGTTGTTTAAAAAGTAAGTTTAGAATAAACCTATACTTATTTTAGTAAAACATTGGAGTTTCATTTATCATACATATCTATATACAGGTTTTTTTCATTACAGTTCCAGTACACAATAAAATAATCTTTATATATATGTATTGTCGTTTGTTTCTTTATATTACATTTATAGAATGTCTACATACTAAATGTAAAAAAATATATCATTAAATGTCGTTGTAACTTTACGATTATTTAAAACTATATAAATAATATTATATATGTTGGAGCAATGGCGCTGGTATCAGCTGCCATTGTCATTATACCTAATTTAATAACATCAAAAAGTTTATTAGTTCATAACTGTTCTATGGTTTATTTAATTTGCCAATATTATAAGATCTACATATTAACAGACTATCAAATAGTAATAGCATAATCTTTATTATTAATGTAGGAGCAATGGTGTTAGTGTCAGGTGTCATTGTTCCGACATAAATATTATGAGCTTTAACCAGTGTGACTCAAAAGGAAAACATTGTATCAACTAAAGTAAACAAAGCACATAGCTATTGTGGTTTTCTTCATAATTAGAAAACCTAACTTAACTAGCTAAGGAAATATATTATAGTTTAATTAGCTTAATCAATTGAACTTGTAATTACTGTAAATAATGTGTGAATTGATATCATATAATGAAACATTCTCTAAAAAGTAATCTATTTATTTTAAACTACGTTCAAGTTAATAAAATTACAAAATTTAGCCACAGAACAATAAAAAATATCCAAGTACTTTACGTTATAATATTTAATGTGCTTGATAAACAGAATTGATCGCACATGTGCAAGTCGTAATATATCCTTTACATCGCAATCCTTGATATCGAGAAATGAGAAGGCCCCGAACAATGAACTTATAAGAGCAACGCAACACGTATTACTTTAACAATATTATACTATAACACATTTGTTAAATCTAGGAAGTACACTACATCTGTAACTTGACAAAGCATTACGTACACTTCGCAAATATATTTTCATGTTATTATTGTTGATTATTAGGTTCTCTATTGAACGCTTTACACAAAGAGTTTCAACAATTTTGTTTTAATTCAAAGATAATATTTTTGAAGTTATACTTCTTTTGGCGCATTAGGGAAAAATTATGAGAGTAAATTTTTACGATGCGCGCACCGTCACAAAAAACCGACACCTTTGTTAGCTGTAGTCAACATTTTTTTTGTGATATTTAAATAAACTATATTTAACTAGATAATAGAGTATTAAATACAATTTTTTCTATTGTTAGTGTCGTTTTTTCTACAAACGTAGAATAAAATTTTTAAAAAGATTTTTATCTTGTTACGCCAAAGAAGTATAACTTCTAACAATGACGCAAGCGTTATAACGGCTACTACTATTTGAGGAGTATACTTTAAGCAATTATATATATTTCGAATGCTTTATCTACACACCAAATGAATAACCAGTTACAAACAAATGATAACACGTGGTGTAATCCACCGAATTCGCACATTTAAGAAATGATCAACGATTTTGCGCAAGATGGGTTTACACAAGCATCGAATACAGTACAGTTTTCATACGATACATTTTCATTTTATACAAACGTAAAAAAACTGTTATAAAAGTAGGCCGTTTGCACGATAAAATGCATCATGTACACAAAATGTCAACTGTTTAACATTATGTTATATTGAAGATAAGAATATCAGATAGCATTTTCGGTTATTTACCTGAGAATTTGTAACAACATATATATATAACTTTGAAACTACAAAATTTTTTGACGACTCTGAGTCTGATGAATTCGATAGTGAATGTTGTTGTTTTTGTTTTTCTTTGTTAGAGTATTTTTTTTTTTGTAATGTTGTTTGTTAATAATAGTGATCTCTAATTATGAGTGCCTTTAACTGTCACTAAAATTGTTTGTTTTCGAAGCGCCGCAGCTATTTCTCAATAAAAAAATAAATAAAAAACAAACTTGTTGTTATTGTGTGAAAGTATAACGTCAAGTGTAAAAGCGAATGAAAGTGTAGTGTGTTGCAGTAGACAGTAGTGTTGCAATCTGCGTTGCAGCAGTATGAATGACTAGGTTAATCATAAGACGAGTTATATAAGTACTATAATTTTATACAAAAGATATTGACTATCCCTTTGGTAACATAAGACCCACCCTGATTGCATATCAATGCATAACTCAACCATTATTATTTCTGGAGAATATCGGCGCGCGCAACTTGTATCAAGCTTTATAGTAGGTACATTATATTTATAGTAAAAATAATATGGTGTCAAAATAAATAACCTATAAGATATGGAATTACTTTAATTATGATTTTGTAGTTTAGTAAACTCTACTCCTTTAAGTGTCAAAAATTCACGCATTCAGAAATTAAAGTGATAAATTTTTATAGTTAATAAGTTAGTTTATACAATTCATATGTAATTGCAATCTAAAACCGCCAAAAAATTCGAAAAATTATAGCTACGCAGTAAACAAATATAAAATTTCACGTCACAACCGATAAAGATAATCACAACAGATAAACAGTATAATTCACAATAACAATTAAAATATATTTAAAATAAAATGCATTTCCATTAAATTACCGCTGCATTAAATACGCAGTAACTCACTTAGCAACAAAACACCGGTCGGTCGAAACTCGCAACCAAACTGCGTCGTACATGTCGACCTATCAATTACGGCGTAGTAACTGATGTTTCACCCTAAATAATCTTGACACCATTTACGCCGCTAACAATGAAGTTTCAATAACCCGCTTCTTATTTACCCAATTCTATATAGTATTTCTCACAAGAATCGTTGTGAATTTATAATTGTACTTACGATCTGACACCGCGTGTCCGCCTGGGAGATAGTCTGAACACACACTGATGACTGAATGAACAACTCGTTGCGCAGTGGGAACGAGCGCGCATTCGTTTTCTTTTTTGAAACAACAAACAACTTTTCAAGACACGACGCCGTAGTACAATGTAAAAAGGTTCAAGACTTCAAGTACAAAATTAAAACGTAGTTGCGGAGTATTGTACTCTCCCCACTTTGCATTAGACTGACCTTATCGTTTGGCTGCACTCAGTAACTGCATAGCGACAAAGCAGTTTTCATGTTACAGTTATAAGATGCATTACTTGTAGTAGTTCTTCGTGTAGTGATTTTATTTGACATAATTGGCATGAAATATTTTACTTGATTTATTTTTTCTAATTACAGTGTAAACTCAATATATAACGACACTCAAGGGACTGTGTATATTTTGACGTTACAAAGGGTAGTCGCTGAATGGAAAGAAGAAAAATCTGTATTAGAAAAAGAAAAAGCTTATTTCAGACTAGTGTTAGTAAATATATAAAAAACAATTGTTATTTAAACGCTACGTTAAAGCTTTTGCTGCACCAGCAAATATGTTGTACTTTTTACTTATTTTATTCATATCTTGCGATATCGAGGCATCTTCGTGATAAAATACGTGCAAGTAATCCCAATTTGTAAACAAAAGAACGGATTTCTTAGAAAGTTCGGTACATATTATGCCGACAGTCGAGTTTGTTACAGGCTAGGACAATAAAGCGACAAAAAAACGTACGTATAGCTCCGCAGTTTTAACCAATTTCGGCAACTTAAAAAGTACCTTTTATTATTTAATTGTCGTCATTGATTGTGGGTGTAATGCTATGTTGTGTGTTTCATTGTATGGAAGACACGCTAAACCACCCAAAGCCGAGTGATTTCGGCGCTTCAGGGGATTCGTCGTTAAATCGGGGCACGTTACATGTTAATTTTTTAATAAAGTCCAGTTTTATGTTACTTAAGGAATCAACAAATAATAATGAGGGATCATTTGTATCACTTCAAGTCTTTGTACCCATAACATGTGTGCCGCCAGGCTAAATTTATAGAAAGAAATTTTGAAATTAACAAAAAAAAATCTTGTCTATATTTACTGTTACAACACAATAACAATTTTAATTTGGTATCAGTTTCTAAAAACACCTGATGTCATAATAAAAATCTATGCCAGATACAACCTATAGTAATCATACATAACTTATATTTATATACATAATATTTAAAAGCGTAGACATTTTAATATTTAAGACATCTTAATAATTTAACAGTAACATCATTTTAGCTCGCCATACAACAAATTCCTAAATTTTGCACTACACAATAAATGTTATTAATTATTTTATTTAAACATAAATTGTGTAATCTGGATGGGTAAAGATAGATTCCAAATCCATTCATATTTTTATAAGGATTTTTCGAGAGTTTGTTTAGGTTAATCTCTGAAACCACTAAACTAATCATGACTTTTATTCATTTTATACCATAAAAAAAGTAACTTTAATCATAATGTTCTTTAATGAAAAGTAAAAAAAAATTGTTCAATAACATCAGCAATCAGCATGGCTTAACAGATACATGAATGGAGCAGATAACTATAGACAATAGCAAATATGCTAATAGCTTTTACTCCTGAAAAGGCAATTCCTGTTGAAGCATTTTATAAATTTAAAAATAAATATAAAACGAAGATAGAACTTCCACAAAATTAATTTCACTAGTCACATAATTAAGAAATCATTAGTAATACAAAAACCACTGCCTTTTGCTGTGTAGTAAATTTTCTGAATAAGTAGATTAGTGTTAGGAATTGCTCTGCTAAAAGAACAAGGATTTAATAGTTAAGGTTAAAATCTTTCTTTCAAAACATCATTGTCCAAAACGCCATCTAGTGTGCAATTGAAATACTGTTTTTTTTGTATGAAATGGCTTAACTGATTAATAGCAATATTAAAGAATAATAAGATAAATATATTAATAAAACAGATTCAACACCTGATCAAGTTGATACAAAACATATTTTTACAAAGTTAAGCCGTAATGTGTATGATATGTGATAAGCAGAGTTTTAAGTATTATCTAGTATTGTACAGAAAACCTTGTAAAACTATGTCATATAAAATTGTTGCTCCTATCCAAAATATTTTACATTAATAGGTAATGGCCAATTCCAAGACAAATGAATTATAAAACAGAACTTTCCTCATTTTCAAATCACGTACTTTCTTGAAAAAGCACATTCCAGATGTCAATCGATAATTATTTAGTAATAGACTATGACTACTTAATGGTGAGATCGCGGAACTCTATATCAGGTAAGAGAATACTAAAAAATTTATTAGAGTAATTTGATTCAAGTTCTTGTCTATAATTTATTAACAAAATCCTAAAAATGTTTTATTTCCTTTGGAAATCTTATAGCAAGCTTATCTACTGTGCTCACTTATTTGATAATCATAATGACAAAGAAAAATTAAAGCAACATCATTATATCTATGTTTATTGCCAAAATCATAATTTGACGGAATCATCTTTATTCTACATAATTCATTCTATATTACAAAATTTGAATAATCTTGAAAATTATTAAGTAATTGAAAAACTCAAGTAATGTAGCACTAAAAATCAATTTATATATAAATGAAAAAAAGGTTCGTTGACCATAATTTATTTACTCTTGGATTGAAAAGATAAGTTTTACAATTTTACAAATACAAAGATGACGAAACTGTTGTGCAATAAAATGCTACTTAACATAATAAGTTGTTGGTGTCAACTAAATTGTCGAATTATTACACTATAATCTGAAATGTTATGTACAATATTTCTCTATCAAATGAAGTATTTGTAAACTTTGCTTAAATCACTTATCACATTATTAGAAAACCTCAAAAGAACTAAGTACTTGCTCAGCATGTTTATCGTAATTTAACCAAAATAGAAACTAAAATCAACAAAATCTAAAATGGGTGACTTACATTTTGAGACTCCTCTTCCAATACAGCCATCGTTTCAAAGTCAATGTTCATGTTTAATATTTGATCATTTACGTTTTACACACAAAATAAATGAAAGCCAAGAGTAGGAAGTGACTAAAATAAAATAATTTATTATTTTTCTCTAGGACGTATTGTTTACAAACTTATGTTTCGCAAGGTCATTTAACATTTGTGATGTGACATGACATTTGACCACACTCCACAGACTAACGGTTATTTACTGAGAGCGTCTTTGGTTTGATTTTATGAATGTTATCTAACCACTACTTTGTACTACAACTTTAATTGGTTTAAGGACAAAAATTAAAATAAAAGAAAACCTACATTTTTATTGTACTACCATAGAATACCTATTACTGACACAATAGTGTCAGATAATAATCTGTGAACATCATTCACGCTGCAACGTATAATAAAATATTAGGCCTTGAATTAATGCTTTAGTACATGAAATTCACCCTGAAGCCACACATTATTACCAAGTACTTAAATATTGGCTTCGACAGTCAACTTCAGTTAATTGATCTAAACACTAACCTAAAACTTAAAAATACATTTTGTGATTTCCTGTGCTTTTTAATTTCGGTCTAAAAAATTGTAAGTAGGTACATGATTTTTTTAATCGCCGATATTTTTTGCATGCTGTACTAGCACATGATAATATTAAATTAATAAAAATGTACCTACTCATTATTATTACACTTTGTTTCCCGCATGAGAAAATAGTTATTATCTGTATATGAATACAACTTATAGAGTTGGTAGCTTGCGCCATGAATCGGTATTCTATTAATCCATTTTGGAACCCATACTTTTCTTGGCAAGAAAGTTCAGCTTCCAAAACTTCTTCAGTTTTAGATAGCACCGCGTTTAACACTTCTTTCAGTAATTCTTCCAATTGCAAGCGCGCTTCTCGATGTTCGTCCATACTTGCTGATTAACGGCTACTACAGACTACTGAATTTACTTAACAGAGCCACTAAACAAGAATTGGGCACTACTGGCACTACACACCTGCACTAATCACTAATCAAAGTGAATACAGGCCTTAAGGCGCTTCTAAAATTATTGCTCAGTAGTCGTATTTTAATTTAATTACTTATAGGTTTGATGTGAATTGTTAATTTGTATCGAACGTTTTTAAGAATAGAAATTATTACTAATATAAAACACTATCAAAGTAATATATAATTACCGTTTTTAATTATAACATTTTATTACAAACATCTCGTACTTTGCACGCGGTAGCATTTGCTATCATAATTTTAGTAGGCGTATTCTAGGAATTTGATGTTTTTTTTATTTCATCAATTATATATCAATATTAAAGATGTATTATGCAGGATTACTTTCAAATAAAGATTAAGGTGCTATAACTTTCACTTTCGTAAATGTCATTCAGTTAGCCATTTCAATTCGTTATATAAGTAGGTAGACAGGGATCCTCCTAAGTGTATAGTTATAGACCTTGTCAATTCTGCCAGCTCTCAGTAAGGTGTTTGAAAAGTTAATGCTCAATCAAATGTTATGTCACTTTAATAAAAACTCCATCTTTCATAAACAACAGTACGGTTTCACCAAAGGGCGTTGTACAACTGAGCCGACGCCGTGTCTCCTAATCAAGAACATTTTTAACGCTTGGGAGGAAGCACAAGATGCCATTGGAATCTTTTGCGACCTTTCGAAGGCGTTCGATTGCGTAAACCCTGAGACTCTTCTGCTGAAACTTAATCCTACGGATTAGAACAAAGCTCTGACTTACTAAGATCTTACTTGAAAAACAGACAGGTTAAAGTTCAGGTTAACGGCATAAACCGTTAGGGTCTGAAATTACAATGGGCGTTCCTCAAGGTTCAATATTGGGTCCATTCCTCTTTTTAGTATACATAAATGATTTACCCCAATTAGTTCAGAATAAACCGAAGATGGTGTTATTTGCAGATGACACATCATTGATTTTTAAAGTAGATCGACGGTCACAAAATCGTGACGACGTGAATAACTCTATTCTTCGGGTCCAAAATTGGTTTACGGTAAACAATTTGGCACTGAATGATAAAAAAACTAAATGTATTAGATTTACGTTGCCAAATGTTAAAAGTAAGGAATGTGACATAATGTTGAATGAAGAAAAACTGGAATTTATTAATCAAACGGTTTTCCTAGGCACACGCAGACGAGAAGTTACAATGGGGACCTCATATCACATCTCTTGCGGGGCCTGAGTCCGTTTATGCGGTTAGAAAATAAGATATTTAACCAATGTAGAAACTGCGCGTTTGGTCTATTTTAGCTACTTTCACAGCATAATGTCTTACGGCATTTTACTGTGGGGTCGGCTGCTGACATGTCCATTTTTATTTTGCAGAGCGGTCAGGGCCATTTATAATCTACGTCGTTGCGAATCTCTCAGGACTATTTAAAAAGATTAATATTATGACAGTACCTTGCCAATTCATTTATGAAAATATTATGTATGTAAGAAAGAATCTACATCTTTTTAGTAAAATAAATGAAAGCATAATTTTGTACTAAAATAAAGATAAAATAGCTCAACCATCTTTCAGATTGCCAAAGTTCAAAATTCATTTTGGGACTTAAATGTTACAATAAAATCCTTGTGACATTTTAAAACTAATGAACGAAAATTTAAATGTTTTATTAAAAGTACACTTTGTAAACAAGCATATTACAAATTAGATGATTATATTCAAGATAAGAATGCTTGAAACATGCTGGTCCTGCTCCATAGGACAATCCTATGATTGGCTCTATAGCCTGGACAAAATCAAATTGGTTGCTGAATTTTTGCTAAAAAAATTGTTAATTTTGTTATTATTATTTTATTTTTTTAAATTTATATAATGCTACAAATGTAATTATTTTTTTTGTATCTCACACACTGTTTTGTTGTGTTTTTTTAATACTTTTATTACTCTTTAATGTTAATATTCTAAGGTTTCGATATTTGTAAATATGTGAGGAACATGTATACTAACTTTTTTAGTATAGTAGTTTATTCTAAGAGTACATTGTCTTCACATATAATTATTTAACAAATGTAACAAAATTTGTAAACCTATTTTAAAAGAGTAGTGTGGAGTTTCTTGCCCATTCTTCTCCACACGAAACTACCTTTGGAAGGGGCAACTAGAATCATCTTTATATTTTTTTTTTTTTTGACGTTCAAAAGTGCCATTTTAGATGGTCTAATTGAAATAAACGATTTGACTTTGACTTTGACTTTGTGTGTAGTAATAGCTTTAGTAAGTATGGTGTATAAAAAAAGACACATATAACTTAAATATTTATTTATTAACATAGCAAACACCCATAATAAAGTAGTCCACATAACATCCACTCTATGTCCTCATCCATTATCTAAATTTGATATAATATGTATTTAAAAATCTAGTAGGTAATGATATTTGAGGAAACAATTATGATGATTTAACTTTTGATAAATTTCATATTATTATGATGAACAATTAGCTAATGATCTGACTTATTTCACTAATCGGTGACACTTAAGATCTAAAGAAGACGAGTTTTTATTTATTTCGAAGAGGTCACCGACGCACCTCGTTGTCCCGTTGTGGCGGAAGAGTTGTAGTGGTGGTGGTGGGTGCGGGGGGATCAAGGCCTTTGATTTCGAATGGCCCGCGAAACAGCGGTCGAAACAGGCGTAGAAAAGTCTGATAGCGAACCGCTGAGTTCTGCAATACAAACAACTGTGTTAATACAAATACATATACGCCATGGTTCTGTTGCCGTTTGGTAAAACTTTATTAATCCTTTGCACTTGAGACGATTTTGGCCAGAGTTTGACGAGTTTCTTTAAAAAGCAAAGTACCCATGCGAACTGGTTGCACCTTCCACAGATTCACCTTCTTCCTTCCTTATCCATACTTTTTTTTATGGCTCTGGCACGGTTTGTGCATTAGCCAGCGTCAAGTATAAGATTTTTATAATTCGTGCTTTTTGCCTTAGAAATTCGATCATGTCCTCCATGTACGATTTAGGTACTCGCCCCGTACCGCACAACCCTCCCAAAGGCCGAGAACAAATTTAAATTAAATTAAAACTTGCCCTCGAACCGGGAATCGAACCCGGTACCCCTCACCCAGCTGCTACTTAATAAGACCGCTAGGCTATGAGGCCCCTTATCCATACTTTTAGGGCTTAATCAAATTTTCGTTATTATATGACTATTTTAAAAGAATGACTCTTAAAATGTGCCGGGCGTCGCATTAACGCCATTCGAGTGCAAAGGGTATGTGTATGTATATATAATATGTTTAGGTATACTTCATTAAGATAAATATTAACCTATATAACTTTGAACTGACTTTTGACAAAAACAAAGAATAATATTTTTAAACAATTCTATAGTCAGGAATAAAATTTGTTGACTTCGAAATACAACAGGTGTTCGTATACTGACCTGTATTACGCTCCCAATGGTCTTAGTGGTGTTGATGAGGAGTGAGACGGAAGGCCCAAACAGGCTCCCCGGTAGATCCAGGCTGACCTTGTTCCGGTCGAACACTGGGATATCCCCGGAACTCTTCGTGGCCTGCCTCTGTTGTCTGACTTCCGCCGTGCCACCACCCGGCCTCGTGACGAACGTCCGCTGCCTCAACGCGGGGTGTCCTTGAGTCAAACTGACCTCTTCCATGCGCGAAATGGGCTCTGCCGTCCTCAAAATGGGCTCTGGTGTCTTCGATGTGAGCCCTGTTCTCTCCGTAGTGAGTTTTCCTGTGTTCGATGGGGGCGGGAGGTGCGACGTACCGCCAACCTATAATATGATCTTATTAAAACAAACCTTAAGCTTTTGTTATGTTATCGAGATGACTTACCTTCCAACCTTTTTGTAACTTTGAAATTAATATACTTTTAACACAATTTATTAAATTATCCACGATACCCAACTATTGTTCTCACATATTCTGTATAAAATATAAGCAGTAACGCAACTGATATAATGAGATGACTCAAGAGTTTATATGCTGCAACTTTTATTACGTGTTGAAGATATTATGCAAAAATCGTGATTGAAATCGTGCTGGAACATATTGTTAATTCTATATTTTAGAAAAAATTGTGAATATATTCGCCTCAGGTTTTTAAACAGTTACACCAACTGTAGAAAGAGTAACAAAAATATTGAATAGTTGTTGTTGACTAGTAATGTATACTAAATTTTTATGAATATTATACTATCAAAACTAATATTATAAACCTGAAGAGTTAGTTAACTGTGTGGAAAGCACTAATCTGAGAAACGACTGGTTCGAATTGAAATATTATTGGGTTGGATAGTCTATTTATCGAGAATATACCATCAAGATATGACCGAATTAACGTTAATAAATGCTGTATGTCCCGGGGTTACATCTACTGTTATAATATAATAATAATCAATTGCGCTACAACCTTTTTAGGTCTGGGCCACAGATTTCTGTATCTGTTTCATGATCATTTGGTAATCTAATAGGCAAGTAGGTGATCAGCCTTCTGTGCCTGACGCACGCCGTTGACAAAAAGTCAACGACGTGTGTGTGTTATGAAAGAAAGTCTATTGGTGCACAGCCGGGGATCGAACCTTCGACCTCAGGGATGAGAGTCGCACGCTGAAGCCACTAGGCCAACACTGCTCTGTTATAATATAGGACCAGAAAAAACTAACGAGTGGTAATAATAATAAACAATTGGTGTTGTCCCAATTATTGAAAGGAATTTCATCACAATCGACTCACTGGTAAAGTTAAATGACAGGATCAATGGGGAGGAATTGCGTATTAAAGCGTTAGTGGTTATGATTAGAAATTAATGTTCTATTAGCTGTACAGCTTAAAAAACTTTAGGTACAAAAAGTACTCGGTTTAGCTCACTATTTTACACAGTTTGACGGTTTTGTTTGAGTTTTAATCAAACAATACTCAATCAAAAACGTACAGTATCTTCGTGTTATTGTAATAAAACTTTTGAATACTTATTATAGTGTGTTCATTTATATAATAGACAAATTTGAACTAAAAACATTTTAAAGTTTTTAATGTTGGTTATAAAAAATAAATTATAAAGGCTTTTTTACACTCCAAAATCTAGCCTCATCAAATTAATGAAATCATATTATTTGGACTTTTATATACAAAAATAATTTTAAATGTACATCCAATATACTTTTTTAGTTTTTAACATAACGCGCTACTTAGTACCTCTACATACCTCTCTTCAATATAATTCACATTCGACCTTAAAAATCTTATTTAGTTCTAAAACACATTTTGCCCAAAAATTAATTCCTATGTTGCCAGAAGGATAATTTGGCTATTATTCCTAAACTATATATTCTTTATTACGAGCAATAAAGATTTTTCCTTTCTTTTTGTCCTTTTTAATCCTTCTCCTTTCATGTAAATACAGATATATACAGTGTTAATTACTAATAAGATTAATACAATTTGAATTACATTTGTGTAGTTTGTTACAAAACATACATACGTTATATTCATGTTGACTTTCACGAAAAACTAGGTGACCTGTGTCAATCGGAGGTGAACGAATATTTGAAGTTTTATTTGGTAAATAACTTGTATGGTGACTCAGAATTATTGTAATAGATATTTTATAGGCTTTATATGGTTTTCGTTCCTTTTATGTATAGTGAGGGTCAGTAGGTTGCATGTGGTAATAGATTTTGCGGACTTTTTTTACAAATTCGAGATTTAGGTCTGATGTTTAGTAACATCACCCCCATGAGAATTACACTCTGTTCTGGAAGTGCCTTAAAAACGCTAGTAGGCTATTTGACAAGATTTTAAATACCATTTCAGATAAATTTTTAGTAAATATAGAAACTATATATTAATTGTAGATTTGAAGTTATGTACGCTTTTGAAGTTCATGTTTTATACGGATTACTTTCAATAACACTTTACTTTTCCTACTGTCAAATAGCCTATTAGGAAAGATGGACATCGAGGTGATGCGAATGCAATTTTGCAGTCTGCCTTGACGATCGATGTTGTAACTCAGCCGCAGGTATTAAAGCGTATAGCACTTCAGAACGAAATAAAAAGAACCAAAGAGAATGTTTCGTGAAAATTATCGTCACCTAAATTATATATTAACATTGACAGTTTTTCTGCTGGTTTAACATATATGGGTTATAATATACATGGGTTAGCTAATGAAGTAAACATTGCTAACTACAAGTAATTACACGTACTGACAATCACGGCCAGTCAACAAAATATTTAATGCTAAGGTGACGAACACAAAATATTCTACCTAAAGTTATCACAAATATCTCATTTTACAGCCCACGGTTTATGTATATACATACATCATTTGTTTTAATATGCGTCATAGAAAATGAATAAATTAAAGAAGAACCCTATCGTTAGGTTTCCCTTCCTCAAAATAGATGGTTAAGTCGTATCAGCTACTAAACCGTCCATATAGACTCATAAAGCCTTTAAGGCTATTTACATAACTACAATAAACAAATTTACATGCATATATATTCAGCCCAGAACTATAGAGATCAGAAATGGGACATCCTTACTAATAGTGAATTGTTTAAGATCAAAATTAATAACCCAAATACGTACTACTAATCAAATTGATCTCGAATGATGTCCCAAATGTAAAAATTGGTTTAAAATCTTCTAAAAAATATTGTTCATGGAAAAATACCTTTAAGTTTTCTCACTTCACCTCGTTGTAAGATGTTACTGAACATCGCCGAACGCCAGCCGCCGGTTACTTCAGTTAATATACATGACAAGAACTTCATTAATGTTGGCATATGTTAAACATCTAGTGGTAATAAACATGCGGTGCACAAAAACAAACAGTTATACGAAAATAAACATATTTAATTATAATATCACCAAACTCACCTAATACTATTTACAATATAAATACAGATCTGTTGTACACTGTACAGGGCGTGGAAACTGGACGGATGAAGGAAGGAGAGACTAAGTCTAATTTAGGAACCTCTCAAAACTATTAAAGTTAGAGTTGCTGTAATACTTATTAATTTTTCAATAGCTCAGGAACTGGCAGAGAGCCTCAATCTTTTTCAAATGAGTAAAGTCTCCCGGTACTGAGATAAGGTAAGGGTTTTGGGAAATGGGGGAAGAAAGATCAAGAATCGTCCTCGTCGGAGTCAACTGTTTCAACAGTGCCAGCCGCGGCGCCGCCTGATGAAGAGCCTGACAGTGACGTGACCAGTGAAAGGATGGAGCCCAGACCTGAGCCACCGCCGGAGCTTCCGGAGCCACTAGAGCCCGATGATAGCCCTCCCAAGAGACCTGATGCCGCCTGCAGCTTAGGTGCCAGGTACTGTAGCTTAGGCCCTACGACCTGCGACACCACGCCTGTTAGTGACGCTAGTCCGTTCTGTGGCGGCTCGATACCGTATTGTTTGTTGAGCTCGATATTCTTCTTGTCCAGTGATTCCACTAGTCGCGTCTTTGCGTCGATGAACGAGTTCAGTTTCTACAAGAGAGGGGGTGGTTAGCGACAATGGAACACGTACGTTAGCCATAGTGTAGGACGGTCATAAGAATATACTTACACCAAACACAAAGCCCAGCAGTGCATTCTTGACGGTATATTTTGCCTGCGTGACACCCTCCAGCTTCCGCTTCTCTCGCTCCAGCTCCTCATTCTCCTCCTGCACACACATATACACACTACACTACACTACACTATACCACACCACTAACACTAACCACCACCACTGTCTTATCGTCGTCCAATTTTATAGAGAGAAATTAAAAATACATACTGTGTTACTTAAATGATAAGTGCAAATACAAAATGTGAAAAATAAATAGCTACTTAATATAAAATATGTGAGGTCTATGTGTAACGTGAATTAATCAAAACTTAGTACATCTAAAGTGGGTAATACGGGCTAACATTACAGTGAATCAGTTAACAAATTTATGGAAAATAAAACCCTTGTATATTCTGGCGTTGGCCGGCGGCTGACTACACGCGAGGGCGCGTTGCGTTGTGCAAGCGCAGCTGTCGTGTCAATGTCAACGTAAATGTTAATGCGTGTTGCTGCGACCGAAATGACACACACTCGATTAGGTAAACCGTACGTAAAACTTAACTATAAGATCTGGGCTTCAAAGTATCAACTATGATTGTTAATATTAACACTTCATATTACGCGCAATTATTTTAAGTTTTGTTGCTACCTTCGGCGGGATTTAACTCTGCTTACATTAAGTCAGTGTAATTAATTGAAATATATAAATATCGCCTTTATAGTTATAAACAGTAACTCGATTATTTACTATGGGTAGTAAAAACTGGGCTTAATATCTAATATATAAAATTCTCGGGTCACAATGTTCGTTCCCATACTCCTCCGAAACTGTTCGACCAACTCTTATGAATTTTTTTATGCATAAGCCTGAGAATCGGCTACTATCTTTCAAACCCCTAAGTGATAAGGGGTGTCTCTCTAAGGGGTTAATTAAAATCTTATGACTTGAACTCTGAGGTTTATATAGAGAAAATTTCACAGAAAAACCTAAAAAAAAATTCCAGAATACCGAACAGTCTCTGGGGTGCATAGCAAAATGTTCCATTTTGGTAGTTCACGAAGTTCGCGGAGACAGCTAGTTTTTTATATAAATAATAAGAATTAATGTAGATACTAGTCTCTTTACAAATGTAATATTCATAGACTAAAGTAAGCAAATATAGACGTCGATCGTCGGATTACATAAGTAAGTAGTAAGATTACTGGTTCCAGAAGTAGGTAATGAGAACAATAACTCGTATCCTAGATATTGTTTTGCTTCATTTATGAAGTAAATACTAGTATAGTAATTGTGAAATTCTATTACATTCACGACGAATTACTAAATAAATATTGTAAGATGTATGCGGTTTCGTATTCGCCTTTCTTAAACATGGATTATCCAACACAAAAGTATTTAATTGCAGTCGTTCCTGAGATTGGCGCGTATAACACAGCCTTTATAATATAAAGAAAAAGATAGTATAACAAGTTATAACTGTTTAAATTTGTTACAATATCTGAATATCTAAACGAGAATAGACTCTAGATAATTCGCGACCATCATTAGAAGATACGAGGCCTGTAGGCAATCTAATTGAGAGACAGCTAAAGGTCGCAGTTGTTATAGTAATCACGAAGACGGGTGGGTAATTATTGGCCTTCATATACAACCCTGTATAAATTTTGTCTGGCTATCGGAAGTACCACAATGCCAATTACCGAATTATATTTAACGTCATTATTTTACTTTACTTCTATTATACGTTCAAACATTAATGCCAATTAAATTTTTAGACCGTCATGTGGCTAAATACAGCACATTCGCACGACACAAAATCAACAAGCCCTAATTAAATTAGATTTTCACATGTATGTTAAAGTCTGTAAGTAATTAATTAATACAATCGAGTGTATTGTTAACTGTGGAATAGATGCTCAATTGCATTGATTTGTGAGTCTGTTACGTAAGAACGCGGGAAACTCTATGCTCAGTCTATAGAGTTGTGTAATGCACCAAGCGTGCATGAGCACAGGTCAGAAGTCACACAGCGCAGGCATAGATCTTGGATATAGAAACTGGAGCTTGCGAATATAGTTCTCCTAGAACTATCTCTATTATACGTACGTAAACTTGCATAGTTTATGCATTTTATATCCGAGGTCATTGTAGTCGTTTAAATTTAAAAAAAAAATCCTTGTTTTAATTGAATTTAACTGTAGCCAATATTAGAGTTATTTGCTAACAACAATTTAATTGCTTGTCGTGTTGTGTTGTTACCATTTATAGGAGACCCGGAATAAAAAAAATGGTCTAAGCAGATAAATTATGAAAATGTACCGAAAAATCATTAAAGTATATTTTGTTGGGTTATGTTTTGATTGTTATAGTTTGGAAGCATTTAAAATAGAATAAAATTTAAGATTCTTTTATTCCAAAGTTTCGCAAGGTTTTACAGCAAATTTGGTTTATGTGATGCATGAAGCAGGCGAAACTTTGGAAGTAAAATATTAAAACGTGGCTTAGTTCCTAAGTACATTTATAACATTAGGAGTTGAAGGCTAATTAATGTATCCAATTACGTATGTTAAAAATCAATAATGAACTTGAACGTAATATAGAGTAGGAACTTGTCGGTGAAAACATTACATTTCACTTCCTAGTCAGTTCAATGTTTTATTTTAATATTTTCAACACGTAATTGGCACAGTTTTATAGTTTTTATTCTGTTATTTAAATGTCGATAATGGGCAATACGGCTTGTTTGGTTCTCATTTCTCTCTTTTTCACATCTTTAATTAAAGTTTATAGTTAAACAACCGTTAATACACCCTTCCAAATGCAGTCTCGTAAATTATCTGTTTTGAAACTACCCTTGCTAAAACTACTACGTTTGACCATACGAAATATGATTGAATTTCTATATTTTAATATTCTTCTTAACATTAGCTATTCGTTAATATATTCTATTGTGGTAATGATTATTGATACTTTAGTATTCCGTAAAAGTTAGGTTTGAAAAAGTTATGAAGGTTAACTATAGAAATAAGATAAACAAACAGATAACAAATCAGATAAAGTGTAGTTGGTCAATTTAAAAGACAATTAAGAAATATGCAGTGATTACTGTCTTAGATAAGAATTATTGTAGTAATAGCCGGATTAATTTAGAATAATATCATATCTTTCGGTGTAAAGTATTTGGAAATAAGTTCTTAATATTTATTCTAAAACTGGGAGAGTGGATATTCGTCACACCTGTTTACTGCATCAGCAAAGTGATTGAACATTCTGAACTACATTCAGTGTTAGGAAAAAAATATTTTTAATAATATGAGTACTATAAATCCTTATTGAAGTATGGGGCAATTCTGTTTTGATTTAAATTTTGTTGTATTAGACAAGAATATGATCGGTCTTCGGTGTCTTCTACGTTCTAATCAGATGAGGATCGAAACGCCTGATTTTGAATTCCAAGTGCTTGTTCACTGAACAATAGAGCCGGTGAAATAATATAGGGTACATCTGCCAATTCAATCATATATTTTGGAAAATAATGCCTAATGTTTCCAAAGCCATGTGTCAGTGAAGAAGCTGGTGCGGGTTTAAATTGCTATATGTATGTCGGTTTATCGAACCTACTACGGTTTAATGTCAACGAGTGACATTCATCGATAAAGAGATGTTTACGAAATCAAGGTATCATGAATCATTCCATACTATATTACTTAATAGTAACCAGCTATCAACCCTAAGATCGTGCATTCGAATCCGGCTGAGCACCAATGGATTAAGTGCAATTAATCACTCCAGATACAATCTCGTAATCTTTCTGAGTCCTAGATTTGATTACCGCAAAAACAATAATTGTTTCGGGTTTGTAGACACAGTAGGCTGATCACGTCTTAAAATGATTAATAAAACAGACCCATATTGTAGGGAGGGGAAGAGGGGGTTTAAGGTATTTCTGATCCTTCCCCTTCCCTAGTTTCACATGACTTCACACATCTTCTGATTTACATATAATTCTGCATAAGTGTCCTTCATTAGTATTCATCTTTTGGTACTAAAGTGAGCGAAGAATACAAATGCCTCATTTTAACTATAATATATAAATGTATCACCTGTCCTAATGGGATATGCACATCTACACCTTGTGGCACTATATAACATTGACTTTTGGTATTGCGACACGGCGTTACGTCGTTATTACGAAATTAAACTATCACTAGAAATACCAGTAGGTACCTATGTGATTTACATAAATACTACATGGCTTAATGTGGTGACGAGGTCACGAAACGAATATAAATTATGAAAGCTGTTTAAAAATTGGACCTTTCTTAAGCATAAATTGATCTTAAGATGGACTTACATCAATTGGCTGTAGCGTGTTGTCATCCGCGAGCTGTCGGCGCGAACGTGGGGCGGCTGCCGCATGTTCGGCGAGCAACGCGACGAGCAGCGCGGCGAATAAGCAGGTGCGGAGGCGACAGGCGAGCATGGCGGCGGACACGGGACTGCCACTCACCGATTCAGCGGCCGTAGCCACGCTCAGCAGTGGGGCGGCGGTAGGGCGGTGGTGACCGCAAGGTGAAGACCCCGGACTACGCAAGGTCATTCCAACACATCACCGCCTCTGTTTTTGGGGCACTTGGGATTAAGGAGACTGACTTCAAAGGCGAATCAGTCTAAGGAAAATATTCATTTCTATCTGTCAAGTGACTTTGAGTAGTTAATCCTATCAACAGTGATAATACGTATAAACCCATTGTGTTAAGGTTAAATAAATTTATTTAATATATACATAATATCTTATTTTAATTATTTATTGTACTTACATCTCATATCTATGTTGTCTGAATACGCGGCATTTATTTGTTAAAAAAAATTAAGTGACATAGTTAAAAAAATCCTGGCGTACTCGTAATACTAGTCGTAAAATCGTAACCAATATATATAAAGCTTTAATTTTCATATATTAAACAGATTGTTCAGCGTAGTTGATAATTTTAAGTACAAATAATAATACCCTTTATATCAGACACCTTTATATTTATTTTACGACTCATTGGTCTAGTGGTTAGTACCCCTGACTGCGAAACCATGGGTCCCGGGTTCGATCCCCGGCTGAGACGAACATCGATGTGATGAGCATTTGATGTTGTGCTTAGGTCTTGGGTGTTTAAATATGTATTTATATGTCTATCTATGTATAATATGTATGTATATCCGTTGCCTAGTACCCATAACACAAGCTTCACCAGCTTAGCATGGGACTAGGTCAATTGGTGTGAATTGTCTTTAAAAAAAAAAAAAAATTATATCATCTCATTCTTTTAAGATATATGTCTGTCCTTTTTTGGCATTTCTCGTCCTTTTAGGCCTCATCCAAATCTCGCCTTTTCTGTCTGCATTGTGCCATTTGATAATTTTAAGCAGTACGTGGAATACATTAAATGTTTGTAAATTGACTTTTTTCTTGTTTTCTTTTTTTTTTAGTTGTATTATTAGTAAGTATATTGTATCTATTACTACATGACAGTATGGGCCCTACTGAAAATAAAAAGCTGCTAAATACTGAAGACAGCAGCAAGCTAAGGGTTTTTATGTAAGGGTGTATTTTGTATATTTTTTTGTTTCAGCAACTTTAAACAAGCAAATATTTATCCTCTTCTTTTTCTCTCTAAAATATATAATATATATCGTTCTGTGTTTTCTCACAATATTTTTTTATATTAATTGAAATACAGTGAAAAGTTGACAATAATAGTAACTTCCAATTGAAAGAAATATACAAAACCCCTCCCCTTTATTAATAAAAACTACTTCCAGTCTTATTGTACCATTTTAACTAAAGTCAATCTCTTTTCAGCATAACGGCAACACAATTTGACAGAAGGAGTCATCTCTTTACTATACGACTCTGGAGTACTTCATTTATGAGAGTCAGATAAGAAGTATAGAATTTTCCACAAAAATTACTTTCGTAACCAGTGCACCGGATAGATCTCCTCTACTAGGGGGAAATGTCACCTTGTAATCTCCAAATAGACAGCTTAGATTGATTATACAGTTCAGTAGGTGAAAACAACCTGCTAGAAAAATTGAATATGAGAGCCGGAAACTAGTTCTGTCCTGCGATTCTGTAACTCACTGCGATTTCGAACTCACACTGCGGATTCATCGGAGGTGTTCAAACAGTCGTGAACAGCATTTTATGTATTTGGTTTCACTCCCATGCCTCTTATCAGAATGCCAAATCATAAAATGACTGTTTCACGACTGATTTGAGAGCGACCGCCGATGCGAAAACCGCTGTGTTAGTTCGAAAAGTGAGTTACAGAATCGCAGGGCTGATGTCGCATTCTAATCGGCGTTAAAAATTATTATGTAATTACTTTTAAATGGCGATATAAATAGTACACAAGAACAGAGTGTATTCCTCGCAGTGCAGTATGTAGTGTTATTGGATTCTTTCTTATGTTTAATATCCTTTTTAGTAAATAAGGTTAGTTATAAATTGCTTATTGGTCTTAAGCTAGATCGTAATGCTAAGTGATTTCTTTAAGCAGAGACAATTAATAATATTTAATCGTGATGTCAAATAAATGACAACTGATAATGTTAAATTTAAATTCAGAATTATATTATTTCTATATTTTGTATTATTTTAAATCGTTTTAAAACTATACAGCTATATCTTCATCAATCATCAAAAGTTATATTATAATTTACACGCCTCAGCAATTTCAATTAATATGCCTTTATTATAAAGGTTAATGATAATACCGTCTAATGGTAGTCGGATACTAAGACCTCAATTTTTAAATATATAATATTGAATAATTACTAGTCTAGAATTAGTATTAGTACTCGTAATCGGAGACTGGGACGCTGCTCGCCTTGATACACTTTTGACTGCATAATATGGTTTCAATATATTCTAACAATATTAGAGACATATTGTGGTCGACAATACGATTAAATTGCATTTTTCTGTCGATCCGTGTTATATAGTACTAAATATGAATGCCCTTCGTAGTTGGCTTTAATTAATTTATTCAACATTTAAAAAAGGAGCTATAAAAGCCAAGCACGTGTGCTAAATTTTGTAAATGTATCACAAAATTCTCGGAAACTAGTAATAGCGAGATTTTTGTTTTAATCACGTATCACGTCCAAGTTTTCTCAAAATCTGTTCAGTATTTTTTGAGATATGGATACACATTTCTAGAGGAGATATAAAAATGGTAAATAATAATATCACTAATTTTATTTCCCTTTAAGTATGATTTTCATATCTTTTATATTATTAAACGGTTTCGTGTTCTGTTACTATGAAGATATAAACAATTCAAATATAATAATAATATTATTCAAATATAAGAGTCTGTCCTCCAACTTCGATTTTGTTCCCTTTGGAGTAAAGACTCGTGGGATTCAAGTGCACAGGCGCTTATTAAAGATAATGGTTGTCACCTGGTAGATAGTACCGGTGACCTAAGAGCTGGTGCTTTCCTGGCTCAACGAATAAGTATCGCAATACAGCGATGAAATGCTGCTAGCGTTAAAGGTACACTGCCACACGGACCATACTTTTTAAATTTCTTTTAATTTTCTATTGAACAATTTTTGTTATTGCTTTGTAGGTTAAGAAAATGTTAAATACTAATTATACGTATAATGTTACAAGGATATATATTTATATTATTTTGACGCATTATATGTATAGTGTTGTATTATATTATATTATATACCTTAATCTTATATTATATTATATTATATACCTTGCAGTATCACTTATGTGGAGCATTTCAAAAGTGAAGAAATCTTAGGGTTTTACTTAAGTATTAACGTAAGGTCAGGCGATGTTACACAAACATCCTTTAGCACGTGTTTCCTCTCAGAAATACACATACTCAGAATTTATATTGAGCAAAATTCTTGAATTATTAAAGAATAAAATGAGTGCAAGCCACCTTCATTGCTTAATTTACGCACATGGAGCCTGGCTTTGTTTGGGTTTGATTGTCGGCGACGATCAATGTTTGGTAAACTCGGAGATCACTAAGATGTTTTAAATGACTGTTCTTCCCATAGCCCATTGTAACAAATAAATATTTAAGTAATAAGAATGTATGTGGAGAAACATTTTAGCAGCAGAGTCTGTTTCCCAACCAACCTCCTGTGCCACCCTGATATTGTTTCACCGGCAAATGAGTCAGGATCTCAACATTATATTCATAGAGATAGCACATAATTATGCGTGGAAAATCAGCAGCATCGGGTGTCGGTCGTTGACCTATCATTGTTTAGTTTTTGCTCTATTGTTCTTTCATAACTATTTTTAGTGTCTTGATAATATATTAAACAATATACACTCTCTCTGTGCAACATACAATTTCACGGATTAGTATTGAAATATCTCACTGGATAAGGCTGATCACCTACTTGAGAAAAATGATTACGACCACATGTCCAAGAGGTGAGACCAAGGGTTGAGGTGTTGTTCTTTGTTCTAGGTTTCTTAATGGTACCTTTTCGTCCGTTTCTATCAAAAAGTGGGTTAAATACAATTAGACATATTTATTAATGAATAAGGGGTAATAATTTAGAAGGCATATCACAAATCCTCCCATTTATACTACTTATTATAAGTGTTCAATTTTTGTATGAGATTTTCATTAATATTTTTATCGAACACGATAAAAAATCCGTGTCTAGTCGAGTGAAAAAACGAGTGTAAACTTTCTGTTTGAGTAACATGTAATCAATTAGCATAACGTTGCATTACGCGAATTAATACACTAATACCCAAAAAGTTGTTATTATTGATGATACCACATTAATAATTATTTAGTAATGATTTTATTTAAGTATGATGCAAGCCATCTAAGAGATTATGACTTTAAAATTACGCATATACTAATTGAGACTCGCTCAACGAATTAGTATCGCTCTACAGTGATGAAATTCTGCCAGCGTTACATTACCGCGGTACATTGCCACAAGGATCAAACTTTTAAAATTTGTTTTAAGTTTTTATTTAGTAGTTTTAAATTATTAATATGTTTGGTAACTGTTTATTTTAGCTAAGGATTGGATGAATCAATCCTGGGACACTGTCGCACTCGGGCCTAAGTCACGTGAACACAGTTTTTAATGGGTAATTTTCTTGGAGAAATTTGCGGGTTATTCTTGCAGTATTTAATATAGCTTTTTGAAGGATTATATAAATGGATTTCAGGAGGTCTTAAGATTTTATAGATTCGTGAAACGTATTTGGGTTTAATATTATCTAGCATTATTACTATATATGTTAAGAATAATGCAATTACTGTATATGTGTATGTTGGAAATAAATATCAATTAAAAAATGCTGGGGCGGCCGCAGAGCAGGCTGTAATAATAAACGGCTCAAATATAAGTCTTTCCTCCAACTTCGATTTTGTTCCATTTGGAGTAGAGTCTCTTGGGCCGTAGGGTGGAAATGCACAGCCGCTTATTAAAGATTTAAGTTGGCGCCTGGTAGATAGTACCGGTGACCCCAGACCTGTGCTTTCCTCGCTCAACGAATAAGTATCGCAATACAGCGAGGAAATGCGCTACTGCGAAATG